CAGCTGCCTCGTATGAACCAATAGCAGCTGCCTCGTATGGAGCGGCCTCTAATACCAGCTGCCTCGTATGAACCAATAGCAGCTGCCTCGTATGAACCAATAGCAGCGGCCTCGTATGGACTAATAGCAGCTGCCTCGTATGAACCAATAGCAGCTGCCTCGTATTAACCAATAGCAGCGGCCTCGTATGGACTAATAGCAGCTGCCTCGTATGAACCAATAGCAGCTGCCTCGTATGAACCAATAGCAGCTGCCTCGTATGAACCAATAGCAGCGGCCTCGTATGGGCCAATAGCAGCTGCCTCGTATGAACCAATAGCAGCTGCCTCGTATGAACCAATAGCAGCTGCCTCGTATGGGCCAATAGCAGCTGCCTCGTATGCAGCTGCCTCGTATGGGCCAATAGCAGCTGCCTCGTATGAACCAATAGCAGCTGCCTCGTATAGCAGCGGCCTCGTATGGGCCAATAGCAGCTGCCTCGTATGAACCAATAGCAGCTGCCTCGTATGAACCAATAGCAGCTGCCTCGTATGAACCAATAGCAGCTGCCTCGTATGAACCAATAGCAGCTGCCTCGTATGGGCCAATAGCAGCTGCCTCGTATGAACCAATAGCAGCTGCCTCGTATGGGCCAATAGCAGCTGCCTCGTATGGGCCAATAGCAGCTGCCCCTCGTATGGACCAATAGCAGCTGCCTCGTATGAACCAATAGCAGGTGCCTCGTATGAACCAATAGCAGCTGCCTCGTATGGACCAATAGCAGCTGCCTCGTATGGACCAATAGCAGGTGCCTCGTATGAACCAATAGCAGCTGCCTCGTATGGACCAATAGCAGCTGCCTCGTATGGACCAATAGCAGCTGCCTCGTATGGGCCAATAGCAGCTGCCTCGTATGAACCAATAGCAGCTGCCTCGTATGAACCAATAGCAGCTGCCTCGTATGGGCCAATAGCAGCTGCCTCGTATGGGCCAATAGCAGCTGCCTCGTATGAACCAATAGCAGCTGCCTCGTATGGGCCAATAGCAGCTGCCTCGTATGGGCCAATAGCAGCTGCCTCGTATGAACCAATAGCAGCTGCCTCGTATGAACCAATAGCAGCTGCCTCGCATGGGCCAATAGCAGCTGCCTCGTATGAACCAATAGCAGCTGCCTCGCATGGGCCAATAGCAGCTGCCTCGTATGAACCAATAGCAGCTGCCTCGCATGGGCCAATAGCAGCTGCCTCGTATGAACCAATAGCAGCTGCCTCGCATGGGCCAATAGCAGCTGCCTCGTATGAACCAATAGCAGCTGCCTCGTATGAACCAATAGCAGCTGCCTCGTATGGGCCAATAGCAGCTGCCTCGTATGGGCCAATAGCAGCTGCCTCGTATGGGCCAATAGCAGCTGCCTCGTATGGACCAATAGCAGCTGCCTCGTATGAACCAATAGCAGCTGCCTCGTATGGGCCAATAGCAGCTGCCTCGTATGGGCCAATAGCAGCTGCCTCGTATGAACCAATAGCAGCTGCCTCGTATGAACCAATAGCAGCTGCCTCGTATGGGCCAATAGCAGCTGCCTCGTATGAACCAATAGCAGCTGCCTCGTATGGGCCAATAGCAGCTGCCTCGCATGGGCCAATAACAGCGGCCTCGTATGAACCAATAGCAGCTGCCTCGTATGAACCAATAGCAGCTGCCTCGTATGAGCCAATAGGAACAACCTCATACTGACAAATAGTATTCTGCAGCTGTATTTTTTTTTTTTTTGCAGTGGACTCTGTGACGCAGTGGACTCCATGACGCAGTGGACTCCGTGACGCAGTGGACTCCGTGACGCAGTGGACTCCGTGACGCAGTGGACTCCGTGACGCAGTGGACTCCAACACATTATGATGGTGAGGATAGTACTCATGTTGGGCTATACTGACCTATACCTATACTGACCTTCCTCTGGATGCAGGCCACAACAGTCGCCTAACTCCCAGGTACTTATTTTATCGCTGGGTGAATAGAGGCATGAGGCGACCTCCTGCAGGAAGCAACTAACAACAAGATAATTACAATATTTTCCTGAGCGTCTTAGAAGACTTTCAGATCTTTTCTCCTGCAGAAGATTCTCTCTGGCTTGGCACCTTCGTGTCTCTGTTCCTCCTCGCGGCTTCGTTACTTGGCAATTGCCTGAGTTAAAGTCTAGTAGCCATTTGTCGGGTTGTATTTCAGTTTGTTTGTCTTGTATTCAAGAGAGGTGTAGAGGATGAGGTCGCATGTCTGAAGGGTAGAATAGAGCGAGAGGCCGACAGTGAAGGCATCGAAGACCTCCATCTGGAGGTTGAGAATTTAGTACTGTCACAAAGAGAGGGTTTACTGGCAGGCACTTTGAGTCTTATTAAAGTCTGCTGAATGTTGTACGAACTGTGTGTTTGGCGTGGTTGTGACCGTGGGTAGTCCCAGGATCTGTTGATGTAGAGGGCTGAGGGTGTGAGTAGTTATCAGAAGGTGCCAGCCACGAGGACAGTGAGGCACCTAAGTGTGAAATACTCCGCAACATTGTGGTATGATTAGTTTATTTTAGTTCTTCTTCAAATTGGTTTATCGTCATCCTAATTGAAATTAAATTATGGCAATATATGTCTTGTCGCTCTGATGGCAAACTACACTTTTTTCCAATATATATCATATTTCAAGGTGTTAGCTAAATGGTTTTCAACTGATAGTCAAAATTAAAATGTTCTTTGCGACTGTTGTACAGCTGTTAGTCCAGCCAATATTGAAACGATATATATAAGTTGGTAAGAATAAACTTTGTAAACTTTCTAATTCTAGAGTATTAAACCATTCTTGGCTTTCTTGATTTGAGTTATTCTGCCCTATACATCATCAACATTTTTAAATGGGTAATAAAAAATGCCGTACTTACAATATATGAACATATGTTCTGATTGTGACCTAAGACAGCTTTGGGCTCCACAGGATAGGGAGTCAGATGGGCATCCTCAGTGTCCTGACCACCAAGACGAGGCTCTGACACAGTCAGGGGGGGTCCCGGGTGGTCATACATCCCGCTCACAGAGTGCTAACGATGGTCAGCTCGCTTGCGTCAAGTGTCATGCCAGTCAAGGAATCCAGCTGAGAGCGTCTGGACCATCTCCAGGCGGCCCAGGAGGCATCAGCAGGAAGCTGTGGTCGTTGATGCAGGAGGAGAAGATCAGCATCAACAGACTCATTGCAAGGTGTGAGGAGACACTGTGCCAGCTGGGAGAGTACCGGGGCCAGCTGGGAGACTGGAAGACTCACCACCTCCAACTCCAGGATAGACTCAATGGTCTGGTAGAGCAGAACATGTCAGCCATGAGGCTCCTGGACCAGGAGGACGCCAGTGTGGCGGAGATGACCACACGAGGACAGGAAGAGAAGACGCACCTGCACGCCACATTGGGGAGCCTCGACACACCCACAACAGAAAACGAGGCCATCACTGCCACGAACAGAACTAAACAGTGCAAGATGAAGGTGGAAGATTGCATCCAGAGGAGCCGGGAAATTTTCCCAGATGCCACCACTGTCCAATTCTCAGTCAAGGTTCGTTGCTGAAGCCAATATTACTCTCTCTCTGAACTGAGTGCAATACCTCTTCACAGAGAGCTCTCTTGTAGAAACATTGAACCACGTCGTAAATAATTGTAAATATCACTAGCAAGAATGTCTTATATGTGAGTTCTATTTCTCTTACATTATAACCAGACACAAATTATTAAATATAAAGCTCTACATATCAAACAATCTCAACCAGCAATTAACAGCCAACTCACACTCAAGTACACTTCACCACTAATGGTTGACAGGTGCAGGAGACCATCTTGGAGATGATAAGGCGGGTGTCACCGACTGGGAGACTCAGCCATCGCCACTAATGTTTGTGTTGGTAATGACAGTGCAGAGACCATCTGGGAGGCCCTGGAGATGATGACAACAGAGGCAGGTGTCCATCTGCGAAACTCGATGGGCGTCTGGTCGTAAATTTTCAGCCTCCACCACTAATGTTTGTGTTGGTATTGACAGGTGCAGGAGACCATCAGGATGGCCCTGGAGATGATGACCACAGAGGCAGGTGTCATTACAGCTGTTCCCGTCCACCTGGGAGACTCAGACTCCACCATCATGGAGAAAGTCGGAAAGATTACTGGAGGAATATCTTTGAAACAGTTAACTGTAAGTTGCTGAATAGTTCCAGGTTTTACCTTGAACTGCACAACATTTTGGATTTACCGAGACCGGGAAAAGATTCGAGGTACAATTTTCCATCTCGGTTCCGACGAGATGGAACCGAGTCTATAGGAACGAGTGTTCACAAGGAACAGGGTCTATACCCTGTTCCTTGTGATGACGTTCGATTGACGGTTGAGAGCCGGGACCGAATAGCTGAAGCTGCTGTGAATGTTATCTTAGTTGCTATTACTCTGGACCTTGTACATTTTCTTAAACGTTCACAAAATTTAGAGCACGTGATTATATTTTTAGCAGTGACTATGGTATTTTGACACCTCGTCGCCTTGCCACTTTATATCAAGCTGGCTGTAACGCCTCTGGGTGAGAGGCAATTCGTTCTTCCCCAATTCAGAGCTTACATGGACTTCGGAGTCCCAGCTGTCCCACTCTCCAGGTCCGCCACGATCAGTATTGTCTCTGATACTTCCTTCGAATCCTCCAAACTCACACTCTCGCCAGTTCCGCACCAATGCTATAGTTGGGAACCCCTTCAGACTGCAGGAATATATTTATTTATTTATTTATTTATTTACAATAAGGTACATTAAGGGTTAACAGAGAGCATAGAAATTAAGACGGTTTTACATTCTTGTAAAGCCACTAGCACGCATAGCGTTTCGGGCAAGTCCTTAAACTAACAGATAATTTTTATATAATTCACAGTAAAATTGACAAAAAATTTTTACAGGTACTTTACAGCTTTACTTTACAGGTACAAATAATTTTAAGTAGAATAATTACAGTGAAATTGACAAAAAAATGTTTACAGGTACATTGCAAGAAATATTGACACAAAAACAGATCAGAAAAATACACAATAATGAACAAGGATTACTAAGGGTACATTAAGATAACACTTTAGGGTTATACATTGGTTCACTGAAGCACAATATGAAGATCATTACAAGGAATAATGCAGTAGAATATGCACTCAATACAACAACCATGATATCAGATGATATCTAAGATTACAATGGTATAGTAACATGGCTTAGGTACAAATATTGAGGGATTGGGTAGCATTAGATACAATGCGAGATAAAGCACCAGGAGAAAAACTACGAAGGAGAAATTAGGTACTTTTTAGTTTTAGTTTTGAATGAGGCAAAAGTTGCACAGCTTTTCAATTCATTCGGGAGTGAGTTCCATAGACCAGGTCTCTTTATTTGCATTGAGTGTTTACACAGATTAAGTTTAACTCTGGGGATATCAAAAATATATTTATGCCTGGTGCGGTGATTATGAGTTCTATTGCATCTGTCCAGGAAGAGTTTCAGAACAGGATTTGCATTTAAGAAAAGGGTTTTATAAATGTAATTGACACAAGAGAATGTATGGAGTGAATTTATGTTTTGCATGTTTAGGGATTTAAACAGGAGAGCTGTGTGTTGTCTGAAAGAGTTTGTTATTGTCTTGATAACAGATTTTTGCTGTGTGATGATGTGATGATGAGCTTGAGGTAGTTTGCAGAGGTTGAACCCCAAACACAGATACCATAAGTAAGATAGGGATAGATAAATGCATAATAGAGGGAGAGGAGAGCAGAGTAGGGTACATAATATCTGATCTTAGAGAGTATACCAACTGTTTTAGAAACCTTTTTAGTTATGTGTTGTATGTGGGTGCTAAAGATGAGTCTCTTGTCTAAGTATAGGCCAAGGAACTTTCCATCATTTTTATTGCTAATGTTTACATTATCTATGTTTACTTTACCAATGTAACGTACGATTATGTTACGTTGTTGGGTAGATTAGATACACAGTGTTTAGTGAGTTTTCATATTTATTTAGTAGTCTTGGATAGAGCAGTGTCGTAGACTTTGAGACGGAGCTTGGAGCAGAGTAGAGAGCTGAGTGTGGCCGGAGTCGCGGAGCTCTATGTAGGAGAGCGTGGCGGCTCGATTGGGAATTGCGAGTGTCTGAACTCAGGGAGCGAGAGCGTGGCGGCGCGATTGGGAATTGCGTGTGTCTAAACTCGGGGAGCGAGAGCGTTGTAGCTCGATGCGGTCGTAGTCTGCTGTCTGCTCTGTGTCGAAGCTGTAGCGTCTTGGGTCGATTAGAACTGTACACTCCGAGTGTACATTGTTGACTGAGGAAATTGTAGTGTTGAACTGAATTATATTAAAAATATAAAAATATGATACTTTGGGGAAGCCAGTCGGCCGAGCGGACAGCACACTGGACTTGTGATCCTGTGGTCCCGGGTTCGATCCCGGGCTCCGGCGAGAAACAATGGGCAGAGTTTCTTTCACCCTATGCCCCTGTTACCTAGCAGTAAAATAGGTACCTGGGTGTTAGTTAGCTGTCACTGGCTGCTTTCTGGGGGTGGAGGCCTGGTCGAGAACCGGGCCGCGGGGACACTAAAGCCCCGAAATCATCTCAAGATAACCTCAAGATATATCTATCTGAAGCTGAATTGCATTTGTTGATTTGTTTCGAAATAAGATGTAGTAAGTCTTTATTATATTTAGTGAGTTTGTTGGTTGACATCCACAAGTGGACTTTTTTAATTCATTGTTTACAGCATTATTTAATATGAGTGGGATGGGGTCAGAGTGGATGAGAGTAGTATCATCAGCAAACAATATAGTTTTAAGTATATTAGAGACATTAGGCATTGATGTATATAAGAAACAGGAGGGGTCCTAGGAGGCTGCCCTGTGGCACTACTACGGTTAGTGGTAGAGTTTGAGAGGTTATATCATTGATGGCTACATATTGGTGTCTGTCACTGGTAAGAATGGTAGGTTTGCAGACGTCGTTCTCAGTGCTGGTCCGTAGTGTGTCCCCTCGTATTGGGCCTTAACCTATATGGTTTTGAGTGACTTTATTGAAAGATTGTGGTTGATTGTCATGTTTCTTTAATACAGTTTTGGTTACTTCAGTTGGCTGTTAGAGTTGGTATGATGTGTCGTGATGGGCTGAGACGAGCTTGATACTTGTTACCTGCTCGTGGTCGTTTACGTGGTCGTTACCTGCTCCCCATGACATAGGAAGCAGCAACGACTACGGTAAACTTCCCAGTGAAATAGGGAGTCACACTCAACATGTCACTGTTTGTTAATGTGCAACAGAGTCTAATAGACTGTTAAGGTTAAGAGCTTTCTTGCCAGTCATATTGGCAACATCATTGATGGTCAATTAAACGCTGTTACATAAGGAGCGCTTTGTATCTGTCCCAACGCCCAGCAGCTAATTTCCAACTGAACTTTCCATCCTGGCAATTGTAAAACACTCGACGATCACCGAGAATATAATAGTATTAGAGGGGATTCGTCCCTGGCGAAGTATCGCATTGGGCAAATTATATTATCTCTGGCAAGGGATTGCATCCACAGGTGATAATGGGACTGACACTGTCACCATATGATAATGGTGCTGACACTGTCCACATGGGATAATGGGGATGTAACTGTCCATAGGTGATAATGTGGCTGACATTATACACAGATGATATTGAGGCTGTCACTGTCACCATATGATAATAGGGCTGATGCTGTCTGCAGATGATAATGGTGCTGACACTGTCCACATGGGATAATGTGGATGTAACTGTTCACATATGATAATGGGGCTGTCACCGTCTACATATGATAATAGGGATATTTCTGTGTACAGATGATAATGGGGCTGACAATGTCCACATGGGATATTGGGGCTCTAACTGTCCACAGGTGATAACGGGGCTGACACTGTCAATAGGTGATAATGGGACTGACGCTGTTCACACGGGATAATGGGGCTGACACTGTTGACAATTAACAATGGGGCTGTCACAGTCCACAGGTGATAAAGGGGTGACACTGTCCACAGGTAATAATGGGACTGACACTGCCCACAGGTGATAATGGGGCTGACCAGACCACACACTAGAAGGTGAAGGGACGACGACGTTTCGGTCCGTCCTGGACCATTCTCACAATCGAGTTGAGAATGGTACAGGACGGACCGAAACGTCGTCGTCCCTTCACCTTCTAGTGTGTGGTCTGGTGAACTTACTTTAGCCACGTTATTGTGACTCATCGCCTGCAAATGGAGCTGACTCTGCCCACAGGTGATAATGGGGCTGACACTGTCCACAGGTGATAATGGGGCTGACACTGTCCACAGGTGATAATGGGGCTGACACTGCCCACAGGTGATAATGGGACTGACACTGCCCACAGGTGATAATGGGGCTGACACTGTCCACAGGTGATAATGGGACTGACACTGCCCACAGGAGATAATGGGACTGACACTGTCAACAGGTGATAATGGGGCTGACACTGCCCACAGGTGATAATTGGGCTGACACTGTCCACATGTGATAATGGAACTGACACTGTCCACAGGTGATAATGGAACTGACACTGTCCACAGGTGATAATGGGGCTGACACTGCCCACAGGTGATAATGGGGCTGACACTGTCCACAGGTGATAATGGGGCTGACACTGTCCACAGGTGATAATGGGGCTGACACTGCCCACAGGTGATAATGGGGCTGACACTGTCCACAGGTGATAATGGGGCTGACACTGCCCACAGGTGATAATGGGGCTGACACTGTCCACAGGTGATAATGGAACTGACACTGTCCACAGGTGATAATGGAACTGACACTGTCCACACGTGATAATGGAGCTGACACTGCCCACAGGTGATAATGGGGCTGACACTGTCCACAGGTGATAATGGGGCTGACACTGCCCACAGGTGATAATGGGGCTGACACTGTCCACAGGTGATAATGGGGCTGACACTGCCCACAGGTGATAATTGGGCTGACACTGTCCACAGGTGATAATGGGGCTGACACTGTCCACAGGTGATAATGGGACTGACACTGCCCACAGGTGATAATGGGGCTGACACTGTCCACAGGTGATAATGGGGCTGACACTGTCCACAGGTGATAATGGAACTGACACTGTCCACAGGTGATAATGGGGCTGACACTGCCCACAGGTGATAATGGGGCTGACCCTGTTCACAGGTGATAATGGGACTGACACTGCCCACAGATGATAATGGGGCTGACACTGTCCACAGGTGATAATGGGGCTGAC